GTCAGGGTAGATGTGTCTTTAGCAGATTCTTTTTTTGATGATGTTAAAGTCACCTTTTCTGGGACTAAATTTTCTGTGACTTGATAAGATGGATGAATGTCCTGAACTTGGGTGCGTGAAGTACCTTATGACATGTCCTTTAAGGACCTCTATGTGTATATGCGTATATATGCCACTGGCCATTTATAGGTCACATGACGCTAGGAGACAAACCCTACCTTCTTGGAAGGCATGGGCACAGCCACATCATCCTATGGCATGACAAATGTGCCATACCCTATGGGTACATTTCTCTATTAACTGTGGTGTGTGCAGTGCTCCCCACTCTCAAAACAGGGGCAAATGAAAGGAACCTAAAGCTCCTTTTAGGGTTAATGAGACTTTCGCAGAAATACAGGGAATTAAAGACCACCTCTCAGTGAGGATATCTGTGAGAAGATTCTTGCAGAAATAACATCTTTCCAGGTCCCATTTCCTAGTCAAAGTTAGGAGGCTGATTGTGTATTATCATTCTAAATATTGTAGCATCCAAAGTCAAGCATGATCCTATGGGTTCATGATATTATATAAAGTGTAACATAAATGTGGCAGCCATAACATTAATTCGTTTTACATGTATATTTAATTTCATTATTTTAGTGGTAAAAGTCTGACAATGATTAAGCCGACTGATACAGAAAACCAGAGCCCTTGCCCTTATCAGTGAGAATACAGCTCGTAGTTGTGTTAATCAAGGCCTTTCCTTTTTTTTTTATTAGCTGAGCCATCCTGCCAACCTGTTGGCAGTGCAGCGGCAGCTCAGCTCGGGCTGGGGATCGAACTGCTGACCCTGTTGCTCAGAGCTCGCACTCTTGAGTGAGCTCTTAACTAACTGAGCCACTCGGCCAGCCCAGGGCCTTTCCTTTTTTGGCAGCATTATGCCCATTCATGTAAAAACCCATTTGTAGTTATATAGCCCAAGAGTTAACATGCATCTGGCCTAGCAGCATGGACATCTCCTTCCTTTGAGGCATCTGAATATGCTGGAAGGATCTGTGACAGGTGAAAGTGGACCAGAGAAGAAAAGAGTCAATATTCATTTCCACCCTTCCAGGCACTTTTAGGAACTTATTTAATTCTCACCCAAACCTATGAGGTAGGTTGCATTCAATGATATGGAAAGTAGGGTACAAAAAAAAGACATAATTCGCCCCACAGATCACCTGGTCTGGTATAGCCTGGATTGAAAACAAGACTCCAAGGAATGACCTTTTCTCACTACAAATGCTGCGTGCTCTATATTCAAAGTTATTTATATGAGATGATGGGGATTGAGGGCTCAAAGGGAGAGGGTGACATCTTCTTTAGCCCCATGTCCTGCTGAAGGTGACTGGGTATGTCACATACTGTAGGTCCAATCAATTAAAAATGTAAAACTACTTTAATATTTGCAAGCAGGGATTTTACTTCAAGCTCCAGCCATTTAATTGGCAACAGTGCCAACCATCTATCTCTTGGCAATTTTCTCCAGACTAAAATCAGATACAATTTAATCAGAGGTAAAGGGAACCAAGGACTCGTTTAGCTAGGGTAGACTCTGAGGGGCTCCGAACGTTCTCGGCCCCCAGGTTCTCCTCATTATTTATTCTCTTTTCCAACATAAGGCTGGGTCCCGTGTGATACTGGCTGTAGCTAGGGACATTTTAATAATAAACTCTCTGTTGTGAAACCAATCAGGATACCTTTGTTTTCCTTGTTAGGAAAAAGGATTGCTGCAGAACTGTAAACCCTCAAAAAAGGAGTTCTGTACACTCATCACGTGAATGAACAAACTGAAGTCATTTTTTAAAATGTTCAGTTGCTGCACAGCAGTGAGCAGACACACCACACAAGGACAAATTTATGGCTAGAAGGAAAAATTACACTCTTCAAAGCATCCCGTTTGGTGGCAGTCACGATCATTAGTGAACATAATACCTATTTAAAAGCAGTAAATGCCTATTTTCAAACAGAATGGACTGGCATACAAAGGAGGCATCATCCCATTCAAACATCCCCAGGCTCCCCAGAGAATCATTATGGTCTGTCATTTTACTCGCTGCCTTCTTTATTTTTCCCCTTTTTCTTCTTTCTTCCCTGCTGAATATTACCATCTGAAATCAAATTAAGTACTAATCGTAAATGTGCAGAGCAATCACTTCAGAAAGGCAAAACAATCAGACTCAAGAGGTTGTATAAAAATATTATTTCTTATAATAAAGATGGAGAGCCCAGATGGAATTGTGAGAGAGTTCCTAGAGGGTTATAGTAAGTGAAGCTGCTATTTAGGTAACTAATTAGTGGAGTTGCCAATGCATAATAAATTCTTACTAACTTGAAAAGAATACCCTGTCCCATCTGTACTCCAGCTCTCTTTTCTAGTCCCTCCCTTCTACCGCTAAGATCTCTAGTTAATAATAATAATAATAATAATAATAATAATAATAATAATAATAAAATGTATCAAGACAGAAAATAATGATTAGATCTCTGTTTTTTGTTTGGTAAATAGTACAAAAAGGCAATATAACACATAGGAAATTTCAAAGTCTGACTCAACATGGTGATTGTTGTTATCCAATGAATATTTAATAATAAAAATTACATGGATCATTTATTTGGGACTTAAGTATTCACAAAGAATGGATCCCCAATAAGGTTTAATGGTGTGGTTTTAAAATATATAAATTAAAGATGGTCCCTGAAATAAATAAGTATAACTTGTGATTTAGCATGGCTGGTAATTAAGGGAGGCCTTAGTCTATGTTCCCAAATGAAATATTCAGTCTTAAGATGGTCTTTGCATTCTATTTGTAAAATGAATTGTCACTTATTCTTTTTTAAGACAAACCAAGTTAAGGCTAATACTTAAGTTCTTAGCATAAAGAACAGCAAAGAGTATAACCAGAACTTTTGAATTTACTTTGTCATCTACAGAACTCCTTGAATCACTCAAGCTAAATGATAAAGAAAAAAGTCCTTTGAAATGCACTTTTTGAACAAAACAGAATGCCCAAGAGAAAATTCTCCAGTTAACGTTGCTTGTATCTTCCTAATTTCTATCTGAGGGCCATAAGTTTACCTTGGTTGACATTGAAAGTAATGATATTCCAAATCAACCAGTTATCTCTCACCAAAGCATCTGTAAATGATGAGTTCTTAGTCTTGGAAAAAGAGTGAGCAATTAAAAACAAATTTGTTCCACTGAACTGGAAATATCTGAGGGTGTGTGCCTATGGAGGAAAGCATGGGCAACCAAGGTCAGTGCAAGGTGAAAGTGGATACAGACTTCAGTGAACATCAAAAGAACAAAAACTTACCCATGTTACTGCTCTATGGAAGAAAACAAAGCTATTCTCAGTTGGTTGACAAAGCATTTTATTCTAAACTAAAACAGTGAAGAATTACAAACATTGGTATTAAAGACCCTAGAAAACTAATTAAATATACTAACTTTATAGATCAGAACATACTAGCCTCAAGAGATTAGAAGATGTGTGAGATCACGTAAAGAGCTAGAAGATGACCTAAATGTAAACATTGGTCCTCTTGAGCCCATGGTCATTGCCTCTTCTACCATAAATGAAATACTTTTTTATTATGTATGAGTTCACTAGAGTCAAGTTAAGAATAATCTGTGATAGGTATAGCAAATAGTTCCTAACCACATGCAGTGTACTTTCCAGTACAGGATGCAAAAAAATTAGACTTGCAGTTAGAATACAGAATAAGAACTATTTACTGACTTTTGCTCAAGCAAGGGCACCCATCCCAGCCTTGCAGGGTCAACTAGGCTTCTCAGTAGATTTAATATCTAAACTGGCTCCTTAAAGGAAAAGTACAGATTACTTAAGGGAAGAGAGGAATACAAAGGTCTTCTAAATGGGGAGATTAGCTAACACACATGATCAGAGGTAAAAGAGAACTGTTCTGTTTGAGGAAGCGAAAGGGGTTCAGCGTGGTTGGGACACTAAGTGCCTGGGGAGAGGTGGTGAGAGATGGGGCGGGGAAGGTGAGCAGGGCTCACCAAATCCTAAAGGGCTTTATGACTAGTTAAGGAATTTGGAATTTTTCTCAAGGTAGTAGATGACAAAGGGTTTTAAAAGTTAAATATAATGATTGGATCTGAAATTTATCAATACACTATGACAGCTGAGTGAAAAAAAAAATGGTGGTGGGGGTCTAAGTACAGAAGGAGTCAAAGCAGTTAGTAGGCTATTGCAGTAACCCAGTAGAGGACAGTCACCTAATGCAGTGCCTATGGGAGATGGGAAGAGGTGTTTGTATTTGAGATATTCAGGCCATAAAATTAAAATAGTTGATGATAAATGGCTACAAGTAGATGTGGGTCATTAAGGAAACAAAGAGTCAAAAATTATTCTGAAGTCTCTGGCCAAAGAACTTTTGAAACAGGAGATATGATACAGCATCCCTCAACTAAATACTTAGGGACCATTTTACTGACAACAGAAACTCAAGACAGCTCTGTATTTGCTCATCCATGAGTGCAACTGGAGTTCTAGGTACATGTCAAAGACTCAATTCTACAGTAAACCCTTTCCAAACTGTTGTAACCTAGTTGTGCTCCATGGGAGCAGTCATAAATCTCCAATGAGACTTCCCCAAGAAAAAGGAACCTGCCTAACAGGCATCCTCCATCTCTCTGCCCTCTCAGCCTTCCCACATTCCTGGTGGATTATGGGTGAGGGGAGGGGAGTAGGTTCCATATCCTATGCCCTGCTCAGGCAGCATTAATGGTGATCTTGTCTATTTTGTGGTGCAAATTGGTTAATCCAAAGGAAGCAGGATTAGGATTGCTAAATAAGAGTTAGAATTAAACGCAGGGTGAAAGATTTACTATCTCTATATGAATCATCTCAACAAAGGTTTTGCAGTTTAAAGCTGGAGGAGCAAAATGCAGTACGTACTTATGGGCTGCGGTGCATCTCAGTCCCCACCTAGGTCATGATTCAGGTACTCACCCCTTCGCCGCCATCTTCACCTGTGTTGGCGAGCATTTCCTGCAGGGCTCTAACAGACAGGGACTGTTCCAGCACAAAATTGCAGACGCAGAGATCTGGAGGAACGTACTGTGGAAACAAAACCAGAATGAGGATACTTACTCATATCAGCAGGGCGTCAGTCACGCAATAACATCTCAAGGACAAAGAGCCTATACTCAAAATGACAGTTGTATGAATGCATAAATGAGGTTATAAAAGGTAGATTTATTCAAATTAAGATGAGTTTCAAGCTGGATTCTACAGGATGAGGAAAACACCCCGAGTTGTAAGACAACAGAAACCAAGATATCAGGATCATTTTGAGCGAGGGCTGGTGGCCCACTTGAGAGAACACACATACAGCCTTGCTGAAGAAAGGAAGCATAGGCTGACCTACACCGATGTCAGGTGGGGCCAATGGAAGAAAGCCACTGGGATCTCATCGCCAATAATCTGTAAGAGGTCAGTGGACAGATCAGAACATGGCTGTAGACAATAGTGACCAGAACAGGAAATCCATTTAGTTATTTAAAAAAACCTGTGTAAAATGAGGCAATAAAGAGGATTAAGAGCTATATTAGTTCTAAACAAAGAAGTGTCTAGAACTATAAGACTTGATGACCCCTACAACAATCATTCTAATTATATGCTCAGTTAATATTATGATATTCATGCCCGTTCTGGAACATTTTTCAACAACAGTTAAAGACAGCCTTCTCTGCATACTGACTCGTAATAGCTAATGCTTGTTGAGTACTTTCTGTGCCAGACACTGTTTTAAGTGCTTTGAATATATTAATTCATTTAATCCTCACAACCTCCCTATATTATAAGGGATGATTAATATTCTGGCTAAGGAAACTAAGGCACAGAGAAGTTGGGTCACCTGCCCAAGGTCATGGCTTATTCTTGGCTGAGTTTCAAATCCAGGTAGTCTGTCTCCGAAGTTCATATACTAAAATCTATATTGTTTCTGCTGTTGATGAAAATATTAAAGGTATTTTCCACAATTAGAATGTTTTTAATCAGCAAATATTTTAGTGTTACATTTATGGAAAACACAGTGCTTGGTACTGAGAAAGATACAAAGACACACAGAACAAAAATCATTGCTCTGCGGGAATTTACAATTCAGTTTCACGATACATTTTCTTTGGGAATACAGCTTGTCATCAATCGTGCTGCATACCAAGCCTTTGTTCCCCACATATTGGCAGAACATTGACACCAGGAGCATCACAGGGATGAGGAATGAGGGACAGAAGCCGCCAACAGCTACGTCTAACACTCTGAGCTAGGTAAAGCTGTTTCTACAGAACTCCGATTTAAAAGCTAAAGCAAGCCTGCTCCTAAGACACAGAGAACCTCTCTGACATCAACATTTTCATTTTAAAAACACTGATGATGAAATTGGCAATTTTTAAGTTCCCTTTAATTTCCAAGTGATTGTACGTTCTTCATTTCCCCTCCCCAAAAATAAAATGGTGTCTCACTGGCTGGACCTACCTACTAATTCCCTTCATTAAAGTTTTAAGACCCCCTAAGCTAAGAATGGACAATCCTATTGTAAAGGCTACTGGCGTGTGGGTGACTTACATTTTAAGTACTTTCTACTTAAATAACTTTTCTACTCAGGGTCTCTACAGTCAGAAATTCTTAAAAAACCTAGTCCTCCTAGGATTCTGGTATTACAGGAAGTGGCCCAGTTCTCTTTATGAAAGTGATGTAACCAAGCAGAAACTGTAATGCGAGGAGACAACAGCCTTTATTTTCCATGTTTCTTGCTTTCTTTTCAGTCTGTTCTTGCTGCAGGTAATTAACTCATTTGTCTGGGACTTGAGTGAGCAGACAGCTGGTGATACAGGGCAGAGCTTGACATCCAGGAAATTTTTTTTTAAATTAAATTTATTGGGGTGACATTGGTTAATAAAATTATATAGATTTCAAGTGTACCATTCTACAATACATCTCTATCGATTGCATTGTGTGTTTACCACCCAGAGTCAGCTCTCCTTCCATCACCATATATTTGATCCCTTTACCCTCATCTACCACTCTTCTCCTCCCTTACCCTCTGGTAACCACTAAACTGTTGTGTGTGTCTATGAGTTTTTGCTTGTTTGTCTTGTTCATTTGTTGCTTTCAGTTTTACATCCCATATATAAGTGAAGTCATATGGCTCTTGACTTTTTCTGTCTGACTTATTTCGCTTAGCATAATAATCTCAAGATCCATCCATGTTGTCACAAATAGCAGTATTTCATCTTTTCTTATGGCAGAGTAGTATTCCATTGTGTATATATACCTCATCTTCTTCATCCAATCTATTGAAGGGCACTTTGGTTGTTTCCATGTATTGGCTACTATAAATAATGCTGCAATAAACATGGGGGTACATATATCTTTATGGATAAATGTTTTCAAAATTGGTAGATACCCAGAAGAGGGATTTCTGGCTCATATGGCAATTCTAATCTTAATTTTTTTGAGGAACCTCCATACTGTTTTCCATAGCGGCTGCACCAATCTGCATTCCCACCAAAGTGTATAAGTATGGGGGTTCCTTTTTCTCCACAGCCTCTCCTTGTTATTACTTGCCTTGTTGATAACAGCCATTCTAACAGGTATGAAGTGGTATCTCATTGTGGTTTTGATTTGCATTTCCCTAATAGTTGAGCATTTTTTCATGTATCTGTTGGCCGTTTGTTTGTCTTCTTGGGAGAAGTGTCTACTCAGGTCCTCTGATCATTTTTTAATTGGATTATTTTGTTGTTGTTGCGTTGTATGAGTTCTTTATGTATTTTGGATATTAGCCCTTTATCAGAGGTATTTGCAAGTATCCTCTCCCATTCAGCTGGTTGCTTCTTTGTTTTGATGGTTTCTTTTGCTGTGAAGAAGCTTTTTAGTTTGATACAGTCCCATTCATTTATTTTAGCTTCTACTTCTGTTGTCTTTGAGGTCAAATTCATAAAATCCTCTAAGATCAATATCCATAAGTTCAGTACCTATGTTTTCTTCTATGTATTTTATTATTTTGGTTCTTATATTTAGGTCTTTCATTTATTTTGAGTTAATTTTGGTGCATGGTGACAGACAGCAGTCTAGGTTCATTCTTTTGCATATGGCTTTCCAATTCTCCCAGCAGCATTTATTAAAGAGGCTTTCTTTTCTCCATTGTATGTTTTTACTTCCTTTGTTGAAAATGATTTTCCCATATTTATGTGGGTTTATTTCTGGGTTCTCAATTCTGTTCCTTTGGTCTGTGTGTGTGTTTTTCTGCCAATACCATGTTTTGTTTTTTTTTGTTTTGTGTTTTTTGTTTTTTTTTTTTTAAAGCTTTGAGAAAGAACTGTTTATTTTAAATGGTGCTACCCAGGAAGGGAGTTCCTATTTTATGATTTTTTTTTTTATTGGGGGAATTGGGGGAATGGGAACAGTGCTGGGGAATTGGGGGAAGGGGAACAGACAAGTTGCTGTCGTCTTGTTCTTCAGTCTAGTTGTGGAGGACGTTGCTTCACTGGCCCAAGTTGGCACCATCATTGCGCTCTTCCCGGGCGAGGCAGATCAGTCGCCGGCTTCTGGACGGCCGCTCACTGCGGCTGCTGGCCGCTCACGCTGGCTGCTGGCTACACACGGTAGCCCATGGCAACCCACTACCACAGGGGCTGCAGCCTACGCCGTCGCCGGCGACTCACGGCAGCCCAGCTCCAGGTTGAGCTGCTGTTCAGCATCTTAGCTGTGGAGGGCAGTGTCACCGGCCCTCATATGTGGGATCCGAACCGGGGCCCTCTGGCATCCCAAGCGAGTTCTCAACCATCGCGCCACTCGGCCAGCCCGCCAATACCATGTTTTGATTATTGTTGCTTTGCAGTACAAACTGAAGTCAGGGAATGTGATACCTCCAGTCTTGTTCTTTTTTCTCAGGATTGCTTTGGCTATTTGGGGTATTCCGTACAAATCTGATGATTTTGTGTTCTATTTCCTTAAAAAATGCCATTGGAATTTTGATGGGGATTGCATCAAATCTGTATATTGCTTTGGGTAATATGGCCATTTTAACTATGTTGATTCTTCCAATCCATGAACACAGAATATTTTTCCATTTCTTTGTGTCTTCTTCAATTTCTTTTAATAATGTTTTATAGTTTTCAGTGTATAGGTCCTTCACATCTTTGTTAAGTTTATTCCTATGTATTTTATTCTTTTAGTTGCAATTGCAAAAGGAATTGCTTTTTTCATTTCTTTTTCTGAAATTTCATTCTTAGTATATAGGAATACAATGGATTTTTGTACATTGATATTATATCCTGCAACTTTACTGTATTTATTTACTGTTTTTATTGTTTTTGGGTAGGTTGTTTAGGGTTTTCTATATGAAGAATCATGTTGTCTGTGAAAAGTGACAATTTGACTCTGGAAAGGTGGGGTGGAGAGAATGGGGAAGCCCCTTTAGAATCTGGAGGAGTCTCCACAGGAAGTGTTTTTAGAGCACGTGTAGCATGTATGTTACACGCAGCATACAATAATATTATGAAGGATTTCCTTAAAGACCTTAGGCCATAGGCATATATCATATGTTGTATCGCAAAATATGACGCTATCTCAGAAGATTTTACAGAGGTGTTTTCTACCACTTTTTTGTCTACCTGGATCTCACATCACCAGAATACAAAGCCAAAAAAGCCCGGATTTGAGTGTTTCCTCTTCTTCCTCCACTTCAGTAAAGCATGTGACTTGGAGATTTTTCTCTTCAGGAATGTCTGCAATAAAGGATGCTTTTTGGCTAGTCAAATGACCTCAACATTCACGCTCACTTTTACAGAAACCATGTTTAGTCTATTCTCTTTAAGACAGAAATTTTCAACAGTTTCAAGCACTTGAGATCCTGCCCTTACATGAGATTGTGCGATTCTAAGTCAGCTTTCTCTCCTCCCTGTGTCTGGTTTGCTTGAACAGAAGACAGGAGCTTTCCCTTGACCCTGCTCTCACCCATCCTAATGGAGGACCACTGACAACACGGACCCCAGGCATGCTCCCATCATATTTTTCTTTTCCCTACAGAGCTGAAGTCTCAAGGTGGTCATGAT